TACGTTAATATGTCAAAATTCAATTTACTTTTGTAGTATGCAAATATTTTATATCGAGTTCAATACTCTGTATTTTTAGATAAAAGTGAATATACCTAATTCAAATTGTTTATATTTAATGTTTACTAGGACATAGATTAAGATGATTAATAAGTAACATGTTAAAGACGATAGGTAAAAAATTTAAATTAAAATATAAATGCTAATAGATATGACCCATTGTTCTATTGGTATTACAATAACTTTTAGGCAAATTTTACCAGGTCCATATTATAATATCATTTTCAATTAAAATTTAAAACTTCATGATTTTTTACAATGTGTTAGTGCAAATAAAATTTGTCACATTTATGTTAGTATTTGTGTACATGTCTTTAATTTTTATTGAATTTTAGTTGAAACATTTGTTTAATTAGCATTAAATTGATTGTCTTCAAACTTCCAAAATGAATATTTGTTGAGCTTCTTAGGCACGATTGGATATAATCCAACCAGTTTTGACCATTTCTTTTTTTTTTTTTTGTTAAAATTAGTTAAAGTGAGTTAATTTGAATAAAGTATAAAGAGTGGATGATTTTGAGTTTGAAATTAAATAATATTTAAAATATAATGATCAAAATTGATGTAATGTAAAAGTAGGAGAGAGATTATCGAAAGTGATAGGTGATTAAAATTATGTTAGTAGATGAATAGTAAATAAAAATTGATATGATGAACGAGAATGATTGTTTATTTTTATAATAAATACGAGAGTTAAGTTGAGTTTTCTTTGAGTTAGATGATTAGATATGAAATAACTCATCCGATTATAACCGATTAGGACCGGTTGTAACTCATATATAATCACGCCCTTAGAAATTTGTTTTTTATAATAAATATATATGTATGGTCCTAGCAATTTTTTACTTATATATACTTATATTTAACTCAAAATGTATATCATAAATAATATATTTTTTTCAAATCAATTCAAAGCCATGCAAATTCAATTAGACATATTATATGGTTCACGTGCGAAGCACGTGCACTTTAGTTGGTATAAATGCATGTATAAATTATAAATTGTACTGTGTAAATTGTAAAGTCTTGTGTCCTGTAATTTATGTATTATGTTCATCAAGTTGTTTAACATTAATGGATACAACAATTTTTTTTAAGTCTATATTTATTTCATTGAAACCGAAAATTACCAAAAANNNNAAAAAAAAAAAAAAAAAAAAAAAAAAAATCACAAAAATACTTTTCATTAAATCCTAGTTCAATTCTGGAAATTTCATTAATTTTACTAGCACAACTAAAAAAAAATCATTAATTTTTTAGTCTATATTTATTTCATCCCCTCACATAATTTTACTATTTGATATTTAATATTTTATTATCACTACCTCAGATTCACTCACATACTTTTACTATCAGTTCATATTTTATTATTACTACATCACATTCACTCTAGTCTTTATATTTTTATCTCATATATCAGAATCTAAAATTTATCTCTTTACAAAAAGAAGGCATACTTCATCTCCATTTTCTAAATGAGACCAAATTTTTTATTAAAAAAAAAATCTTATATTTAATCTCACCCTTAAGCTATATAACTTTTGTCTACAGCCCCAATTAGCACCCTAAGCAGGTCTCCAAAAAAAAAAAATATATATATATCTTTAAAAAATTTAACTCATACATGAACTTGTCATCTTCACTTTTCTTCCACCTTTCACAGTCAAACTCCCATCAAAAGCTTTCTCTAGGACCATCAAATAAAAAATAGAAATAAATAAACAATGAATAAAGTTATACCTGACACAAGAAAACAACAAACAATTGGCAAGACAACAAAAATAGCACAAAGTACAATAATCCAATACATTAATCAATTACACAGTATATTCCTTATTCACCTATTTGCATTAGAGATCAGAGTTTGTTGGATAAATAAAGTGAAGGTCTAAAGTTCAGTAGCTAAAAAAATGTTTCTTCAAATTACAAAAGACAAAAAGTTTCTTATGAATCTATTGTTTCTTTAATGTACTATCACAAGATAAGACACTCATCATGATTGTACATAGAGATTAATATACTCAAATTTGAATCAAATAAGAATACAATGAGAAGATATATAGAACAAAGTACCATGTACCTCAAATGAGAACCCATAATATTGCATGCTACACTGCAGCATGAACTGCACATCAGATACAAGATCCATAATTCCATTGTATTCTGATTTATCGAGACGGAGGTGGACTTTTTTAAAATCCAAAAAGTTATCCCTGGCCCCACTCGAATGCTTAATTATTTTCCACAGTTCAGTTAGCATTGGTATTATGTGATGGCCTTCGCTGTCTATTCTTCTCTGGAGCTTGTTTATAATATTCTTGCACTGCAACACAATAACGGTGTGTTTGTATATAAAATAACCCAATTCATACTCAAAATTTAACTCAACTCTCAACCCCATTATCTTCAATATCATCAACAACAACAATAACATACTCAGTATATTTCCAACAAGTTGGGGTCTGGGGGTCAGTTGTACCTAGATCTTACCCTTGTAATTATACGAGACTGCTTCCGTAGCGACCGAGGTGCATTGCGTCGTTTGATATATTTTTTTTCTAGAAACTTCACTAATATAAGAAGCACTAGAATTTAATTGAGTCATTTTGATCTAGTCCATTATTAGCACTATGTCGGAAGAATTGTCAGCAATGACTCTTCCAGCTTTTGCAATAGACAAATCTTAAATATTAACAATATAATGAATAATATTAATCAATCATTCTTACACATCAACTTTAATTCACCATTCATCCACTCACATAGTTTTAACTAACCATCACTTCACATCATTTTTCTCCTACTTTTACATCAAACCAATTTTAATTATTTTATTTTAAATATTATTTTAATATAAACTCAAAATCCACCAACAATCATACCACCTTTTTCAAAATTAACCATGGTTAAACAAAAAAATCCAAACAAAACCAAATAATCATATATCCAAGCATCCCCTAAGTGTAACATAATGCATACCTTTCTCTGGATGACCTCAAGCATTCTACTTCCACTACTTTTGGGCCATTTCACGGCTTTACTGTCTTCTCTAACATGTCCAACAGCAATATCTGAAGGAGATCCATAACTGACTCTCACAGATTTGCTACAACCTTGCACATTAGCTACAGGTTTACTAGAACCCTGCACATTAGCAGTGCTTTTGCTCGAGGGCAAAGTGCGTTTGTTCTTGAAAGATGAATCATTTCTTTCGGTGGTATCTCCAAGAACTTTATGTGCACGATCATCTCTTGCTTTTGGCTTGTACTTGTGTTCTCCATGGAATGGAAACTGAGAGGGATGAGATAATCTCTCAATCTGCCTGTTTTCTAACTTTTCTGTATTTAGCAGTGGTCTCTGCCGAATACTCCGTTTTCATTTTATCTTTGGCTGCAAGTCTTGTTCGTCTTCACCTTCATCCCGCTCTTGAGCCGAGCTACCAGATTGTTGTTGGTCCATAGGAGAATCTCCAGAAAAAAGCAATTTCCCCTTCTTCTAATTCATCCCCCTGCAAAATTATTAAATAATAACCATGTGAGACAAACAATCGATTGTCAAAAGTATCATACTAAAACAAAATAATGGCAAAAGCTACCCATAAAGAAAGAACCAGTTAACTGG